GCTTTCGAAGTTTTCCGCTGTCGGATTTCTTCCCCACTCTTTCCTTTTCCGCTGCCGGATTTTTCCCCACTCTTTCCTTTTCGGCTGGCGGATTTTCCCTCACTCTTGCTTTTCCGCTGCCGGATTTTTCTCCCACTCTCGGTTCGCCGCTCTCGGACCCAACAGGACCCCCTGAACGACACCCAGCAATATTTTTTCTTATACGCTATTCCCTATATACCTCGCAGTTTGCGCTACGGTACTGCTTCCCCGTTTTTTAGGGGCTCGGCGCCAAAATTTCGTTCGCCGGCTCTGAGCCGGATTCCGGAGTCGGAAATCGCAATGGGAATAGGCCATAATTGTGAAATACAAGAAGCGGTAGGTACCTGTTGTACTACGATTTCCGGCCCACCCTGTAGAAAGAGAATTCTTACAGTGGGACAATTAACGATTCAGTAGCAATAAAAATTAATTAAAAAATTTCTAATTATAATTTCAACCCTTGTACCCCTGAAATTTCCTACTACTTTCCCTTATTTCCAATCAGACGCAATCATTAAAAATTGAATCTACTCGGCAGAGATCCCAGTCCGTCCCTACCTCTCGTCAAGCTTGAACGACGACCTCGACAGGTCGCTCCACGCGCTCATGCTTCTGCTCCGCCTCCTATAAGAAGACTGAGGCGCGAGCAACCTGGAGCTGCTGCGTCTCCTCGTGGTGGCCAAATTCTCCGCCTGGAAGTAGACCCTCGGTGAATGCGTCTTAGCAGCAGCCTGTTGTGCGTTAGGCGGCGTTGAGGAGGGGGTGACGGCCGTCGAGGTGTGAAGTTCCGGCAGCGCCTCGTAGTCCCATGCTCTGGTTCCCATCTCGAGCAGTGGCACCGACGAGGCAGCGGCGTTCTGTTGGCCCCGCAGCGGATCCCGAGGCTTACGCTGTTGAAACAGGGCGAACAGTTGACGGAACGCCGACTCGTTCGCCCGCTGTTCCCCCTTCGCCGGTGGTAGCTTCACTTTGTTCGGCGTGACTGTTCAACCGGCGAACCAATCGATCGATCCACGATGTCCCTCCGACGACATCGTCCTCTACTCGCGGCACTGTCACATCGCGGATTACGTCGTCGGAACACGGTGCGTCCATACGTCGTGTTTCAACAACATTTTCCAACAGTCGAACAAACCCAACGACTCGCGATCGTTTCCCATCGCGATTAATAATTAAGATTAATCGAATTTAAAAATCGAACATTTAATTTCGATAGATTTTTTAAAAGAAAATTAGTTGCCTTTCTCGATAGTTGGAATTTCACCGTAAGTTCAGAGAAAACTTTAATAGGTCAGACGTTGGTGATAAAGTACTAACGATCTTTGTTAAGAAGACCAAGTTAACTTCCCTCAGAAGCAATTTGTAGTCTCTTGAATGTACCAGTGCAATTGATCGATAAACCACAGCTGAGGATTGCTCTGTTCTCGCTCTTAGGAACGTACGACACCGTCGTCGACGATTAATGATAAGCGTAAATGTTCTCGAAAAACGGTTCGATTTCTCGAACCAGTTAGCATCAACTATTCTACTTCCTACACGCTTGTTTGATCATGCAAACGTTTTCCACGGTCAGCTCAGTCGCGTGTAAAATATAAACGCGAGCTTGCGAAATGACCTATACTCTCTGGAAGCTCGTTTTATCAAATGTGAAGCAATCTATGAAACGTGAAATTTCTTATAGAGGAAAAGTTTCATAAAAATTTCTCAGTGTTAGTGGCGTCCGCTTAACGAGTTCAATTAGACTCTACGTGTAACGATTAAATTAGCTAACTGTACGGGAAAACAACCGTGAAAAATCGACGACTCTTGGAAGCTCGTTTTATCAAATGTTTCGCGAAGCGTTCTACGAAACGTACAATAAAAGTTTCATAAAAATTTCTCACAGTTAGTAACTCTGTCTGAACAACTCTACGTTTAACAACGGAAATGTTTATATTTTACGTTTGCAACAGGAAAATTGATAACAGTGATTATTAATGTAGCGTGACTATCAAATCTGAGCAGGTTCATTCAACAACGGTGGGTTTTATATTTTTAACACGTTTGCAATAGTGCGAGAAAAACTGTTGAAAAATTGATAACAGTGATTATTAATCTAACGTGGCTATCAAATCTGAGCAGCTTAAAAATCGAGTGATCTAACATCCAACACGATACTATCT